GCTAGATTAACCGGTCTTATATAATATGTCGAAGGGTATTTTACTTACGGGTTATGGTTTGCGCGCTGCGGCGCGTGGCGGCGGGCGTGCGAACTACTCGGAGCGCGCGGTTACGCGTGGGCGCCTCGGGCCCCGGTATTCGGGTCTGCGTCGAGAGATGGCGCGCAGGTAGCGCTCGCTCCGTTGGCGTCGCGGCACGGAGCCGATGGATGGCGTCGGACATTCGGTCCCGGGGGCGATGCGGGATTAGGTCGTGGGAGGGCGGGGCGGTGTGGTCCCGTGGCTGTGCTGTCGTCCTGGTGCTCGTTCGGCTGCTCCAGGTTTCGGGGGGGGGGGTTGTTGACTCCGGATGAATCGCCGACTCAACGAGGCTACTGGAGCACGGTACCGTACGGGGCGTACGACGGGCGGACGGGCTCGGTTGACCCGGGGGTCGGGCCGGATGGCGGATAGGCTATCCACGTCCGACGGAGGTTTTTGGTGGGCGAGAGGTGACCCGGTTTGACCCACGGCCGACGCGGCGGAAGGGCGTGTATGGGAGGGCGTTTGGGCGGTGGCGGAGTCCTCTGGTGGCTGGTCCTCCTCCACTGGGGGCGCTGGTTGTTGGGGCTCAGTCCTCCGGCTCAGGGTGCTCGTCGTCGGTGTCCGGGGCCGGCTTTAGGTCTTGCACATGAATGTGCCGGTGCCATTTCCCTCGGGCGTCGCGGAGGTCCACCACGACCGGTGACACGATCTTTCGGACTTCCAGGGGTCCGATGTATCTGGGCGCTAGCTTAGCGTTGAATGCGCCGCTCTTACTGGAGAGGGGCCGATCTCTCTTCCAGACCTGCTCGCCTATCTGCGGGCGCCAGTCGCGCCGCCGCAGATTATAATGGCGTTCCTGTCGTTGGAACGCGCGAGCCAGGTGGATACGGACCACCTCGAAGGCCTCTTCGAGCCGTTTCCGGTTGACGTCCGGACTTGGAGCAGGGGCCGGCGGTCTCCGGTCCTCCGGGTGGGGTCGTGCCAATTCGCGCCCGTGTATGATGTACGCCGGGGTGTATCCGGTGGCCTCGTGTCTCGCGGTGTTGATCGCGAATTGTAGCGCGACTATCCGTTCATCCCAGTTTCGGTGCTGCTTCCCCACATACTGGGCGATCATTGTTTTCACCGTGCGGTTGGCCCGCTCAACCGGGTTGCATTGAGGCGCATAGACGGGCGATTTGCGGTGCGCGATCCCGAAGGCGGCAAGGAGCGTCTTGAATCTCTGAGACGGAAACTGGGTCCCATTATCGGAAACCAGCGTTGTTGGGCACCCATGCCGATATATGAGATT